ACGAGGGACAAACGAGAGAGCACTGCAGACACCCACGGGCCTTCAAGAAAGCTTGTTTCGGCGGTGTTGAGGTTGGTAGTGAAACGGTCTCGGGTGGTATGGTCCCTGACGCCGCCGACCTTCCTACGCCGCAATGGAATCGATGGAGAAGAGGGAGTGACGTGACATGTCACTGCCCAGTAGATGGGTGACCCGATTTTGACCAAACTCCTGTTGCGATCAGAAGGGAGATGAGTTGCCCTGGGGCCAGGCTGTTTTTAACTGTAAAAAAAATTACCCAGTAAAAATATAACTTACTTGGGTGGAATACCGAGGCTTTGCCCTTGTTTGTGTCGCTGTCGCGTCACGCGTTTGTCACATGACACCCATCAGCATCAGACAGAAGTCATGTGATGTTTCGCTCTTTCTCCCAAACCACGACCATCCGCACGCGTATGCCCCGCGATTTCCCTCTCGTGTCGACGAATGATCGCTCAGGCGAGGAATTGGATGGACAAGAACAGTACGAGCTCCAAAGGTCTGAAGCATTAGGTCTCAGGAAGCACTACCAGCACTGAAATTTCCGTAGGGCGATAGCTCTAAGCTTACTAGGAGAACCCCAGCAGAACATCGTTGTCGATTCACGCGTCTCTAAATCGCCCACGATGCCCTCTTCGTCCAGTAATTCTCAAGGCACCAAGCGTCGCCTGACCGATGCCTCTGACGCCGAGCAACGAAGAAAGAGGCAAAAACAGCTGCACAACAAAGGTCTAGTGGGTGTGTCGCATGGCTAACTCCCTGGAATATACTAATCTGGTACCAGACAAAGTTCGTCAAATGAAGGAAGACATGAAGAAGACCGCACAGAGACCCAAACTGCACATGAAGTACGCGGGCGGTGCTCTCCGGCTGACGCGCACCCCGGGAAGAGCTCGGGCCCGTACCCCCAATACCGTGTCTCTGGACGACCTCATTTACCCTGACGACCTCCGCTCTGCGTTCGTGTACTCTTTCTTCATCGACAACGATGTCTTGTTCTCGGTAATGATTTTCCGCGTTTGTGTTCTCGTCTCCTGATCTCCCGTGTGTCCAGCACTTTCCGTTCAAAACGAGCACAAACCCGCGCCCGTTCGTGCAGGTGTACGTCGGTCGCGATCTTTCCATGGATGGGCTTGGGAAACACTTTGCGGGGTTCACGAAGAAGCGGCCGAAAGACGACGACTTTGCTCGGGTAGTCGAATGTGCCCAGGCCGGATATCGCGAGCAGTGTGAGTCTTCCGTTCCTCCTCGTCCTCTTCTGAACAACGAGGATCAGACGGGGAAAACTTCCATGCGTTCTATCCTTACATGACGAGCGGCTGCGCCCACACAAAGATGATGGGTGCGTACATTTTACAACTCAGTTTCAGATCTTTGACAACGATTTCCAGTCCTCGCCTATCCCGACTTTCTGCGCGTGGTCATCACGTCTGCGAACTTGTATGTCACCTCTTCCCTGCCGCACCCCACTAATTTTGAGCCAGAATGGAGTGCGATGTCGTCCAGGGGGACAATATGTGGTTTATCCAGGTGCGTCCCATCATAATACATCCACCGCCGACTCACCCATCCCCAGGACTTCCCCCGCATCGCCCACGGCGTCGAATGCCCGAGGACCAAGTTCGAGGTGGCCCTGCGCAAGCACGTCCAGGAATTGGGGTGCCCCGAGAACTTCCTCGAGATGTACCTGCCGGATGAGGACGAGCCGGGCGTGTTCGATTTCTCCGCGGCGAAGGTGTATTTGGTTACGAGTAAGCCGGGGAGCTACAGCAAGAAAGAGGCGGTCGAGTATGGGCAGCTGAAACTGCGCCGCGTCGTCCGTAACAAGATCCTCAAGCACTACACGGATGAAAATCTCCCCAAGATGTCTTTTGAAATGTGCGTGCCTCTGCTGTATCTCCCGGCTATGGCTGAGGCTAAGTCATTTGTGTTTCAGCTGTGTCGGCTCCGTGGGGCACCTCGAAAACGAGGATATCGTGAAGAACTTTCTCGAATCCTGCGCCGGAAATCGACAAGAGTCCATCGAAGGCCAGCCCGCTCTGAAGCTGGTGTTCCCTACCAGGGCCGATGTGCAGAAATCGAATCTCAAGGTTGAAGTACGTGGATCGATCTCGTGATTTCCGCGTCGGCTTAGATCAAGTACTTACACGTCTGTTACGCCCAGGGCGCCGGCAACATCTCCAGCCACATCGACTGGCGGGCGGTCCCCGAGAAAGGCGCCGACTACCTCAAGTCGATCTTCTACCACTACCGCTCGAAGGACCCGGGGTGTCTCTTCCACATGAAGAGCATCCTCGCGCTGCGCGCCGACGCGCCGACGCGGACACCGCTGTACATGTACATGGGCTCGGCGAACTTCTCCGCGAGCGCGTGGGGCGTGGTCAAGCCCGAGCTGCGGAGCAGCGCGGTCGCGGCGACGCTTGGGACTGAGCGCCTTGAGCGCGTGGCGAACTATGAGTGCGGGGTTGTGATTAAGGGGCGCGATATTGCGGGGATGCTTGAGACGGGGAAGTGGGAGGACATTGTGCCGTATGTCCGCCCCACGGAAGCTGATGTGTGTTCCTCCCTCCTCCTTTCCTCCTTCCGTCCCTTCCTTCTTTGATGTGCTCTCGATTTGGTTCGCTCATGTTTTTTGTTTCGACAGAGGTACAAAGCAACCGAGTGGCCGTTTAGAGTGTCGAAGAAAGACCGCGCGGCGCCGCTGGACCGTGATGGCGGTGACAGTGACTCCGACGATGATGATTCGGAGGAGGAAGAATCCGTACGTTCGGTCATGGACCTTGTGCGTGTTTTGTCTGAGGCGGGCGTACTGCACTTGAGATGCAAGGCTTAGCTGTTCGTGCGTTAGTTTTATTACTACGGCGTGGAATCCTGTAACTGTATTATCCCTAGCTCTGTGTACCATCCTCTTCAGAACCAACGGCACTGCCGCAAGACGACCCCAAGCGCCAAGTGCTATTTTTATATATATATAAAAACCTTAACCTCCCGGTGACATCTGCAAACTTGAATACGAACACTGGCGAACTTCCCATGTCTACTTGGGATTGGGAGGCTTCCTTGGGCTTTCTTTCCTCAAAAACGCCGTTGCGACGTCCCCGAGTCCTCCCGGATCATGTTCCCAAAATGTAACTTCTTTTCTAAGCTTTTCTAAAATCCGCGAGTACCGGATGTCTGCTTCGTCAGCTTCTTTACTATTCGTGGAGTCTCTTCCTTCACAGCTGCCCCCACAACGCTTCCTGTACAATGGACCCCATCAACACCCCACTCACAAAACGTCTCAGTGAGAACTTTCCGATGATCAACTGTGCAAATTGCTTGATCAGTGTTGATGTACTGGCAGGTCTCAGGGCGCCAATCGTCTCGGCGCCCATGGCGTTCGCTTCCACGCCTGAGCTAGCAGCAGCGGTGACCACTGCCGGGGGTTTCGGATGCATCGGCGCTGGTACTTCGTCAAACTATCGGATATCGACCATGCATTCAATGACTTGGCCCAGGTTTCGACTCTACCACAACGCTCAAAGAAAAAATTCAGAAAGTGCGAACGAGCTTGGAAATCGCAGCCGGGGACCCGGTGCCCATTGGAATAGGATTCATTGGTTGGATCCTGGACATGACAGAGCCGTCGGACGATCCCCGTCTCATAGCGATCCTGGATGAAGCGCCTGCTGCGGTCTGGTTCGCATTCGGCGTGGATCTCGATAAATATGTGGACCAAGTCCAGGCGTACAACAAGAGAACCGGCCGCAAGACGTTCATATTTGTAGCCGTGCATTCTGTGGAGGATGCCTGCCGAGCTGCAGCCAAAGGTGTTGATGCGGTTGTGGTTGAAGGTTCGGTTCGGATGAGTGACCTCGCGCTGGTATATATCTAACAAGTTATTCCAGGGATCGAAGCCGGAGGACACGGAAGCGCGTCTGCTCCGCCGCTCCTGGTGCTGCTTCAAGCCGTTCTGACCGCGTTTAAATCTGTCAGCGGGCCCATTGTCCTGGCCGCTGGAGGGATATCGACCGGTGCCCAAATTGCCTCCTTCCTCACGATGGGTGCGGATGGTGTCGTACTTGGGACGCGCTTCCTGTTCACTCCCGAGTGCGAGTACTCCGATGCGCAGAAGGATGTACTCATTCATGCAGGTCTTGGATCAACCGTGCGAACCCTGGCATACGACGATGTGGGTCGCACGAATGGATGGCCGCCCAACTTCGACGGACGTGCGATTTCAAACAAGGTCATGGACGACTTGAGAGCCGGACTGCCGCTTGACGAGCGCATTGCAAAGTTCGACGAGAGTGCGCGGAATGGTGAAAATTCCCGCCTCGTTATTTGGGCTGGCGTTGGGGTTGGACTGACCAGCGAGATTCGGGGTGCCGCGGTGAGGAAAACGAAAATTTGCCGCTGGATAAGACATTGATATATGACTGGCAGGACGTTTTGCGCGAATTGCACCGGGAAACAGTCGCGCAATTGCAGCGCGTGACGCAACTGTTGGCTCAATGAAGCCAAGTATCTGTGGGTCTTAGCGCCGGAGAAGAGAAATATACGACGCGATCCAATGCAGCTTGGCTGTTGATTGCGTGTTGGAAAAACGAGATTCGGTAGCCTCTGACCAAGAGTTAATAAGTCACTTTTGAACGGTCAGTCGATGGGGTGATTGACAAGGCCTGACAAGGCGTGATAAGTTCTACCACGCTGGGTCAGGCTGCCTTGAGCGAGGCTGATCATGCGGCTGCGCTAGGCTGATGAGGTTCAAAAATGCCTTATAACCCTTGACCAGAACCTATCAAGCAAATTTGATTTTTCCGACGCGTCTTTTATTTCCGCGTTTGAGAGGATGGATCCGACTTTAATCAGTACTTGTCGTCCCAACTTCGCAAGTCGGCTGTTGGACAGCTCCTGGAACTGGAATCCATAATGAAACGCCCGAGAGCCACAAATCACTCAAGTGTGCATGTGGGGATTGGTGCATTTGAACTAGCTGCAGTGCTGCTGTAACTCATCGGTAGAGCATCCTTTGAACATGTATGTTGTTTGCGGGATTTCAGAGGACGATGATGTGGGTTCGACCCCCACCGGTAGCGTGGCCTTGGTACAGTGGTTTTTTCTTCCCGTATTTGCTTCCCGCATTTTTTTTTGCGCTCGCGCCAGCACAAATTGAGAGGAGGATCCACTTCATCCCCCGTTCTCACCATCAAAATTGGGCGTTTTAAAAATCGGATGGGCTTCTACTGTCTGGTGTTGGGTACTGCTCAGGGTAAGGTGAGTGGTTGAATAAAGTACAATTGCTTCAACGTCCATTTGTCCGTCCGTACTGGTACATGTTCACGAGTGGGAAAGTCAAGCTTATAAAAGTCCGTGTGCATAAATGAGAAAGATATCAGTGGCTCGCGATCGTGAGGACGTAGGTTGGATTCGTGAGAAATTCTGCTAGGGTACGTCAGTGGCCGCAAAAACAAGACCCGGTGCGGAAACTAGAACACGTACTCCGCCAAGTCTGAGTCCCATTGTCTAGGGATGCACCGCACGGCGTCGGGGGCCGTGTCGTCTAACGTACTGAGAGCCCGCGTCGGGCTGTGCAACTTGAAAGGCGGGGAGCAGGCCGAGCGGCATCGTCCACGTCCATGGGCGGAACAGGCTCATCGGGGAATGCGCGTTATTCTCGTCAGTCGTTGGTGAGGCCGTTGCCAGCGCAAAGAGGATCGTGAGCAGGGCGATTATGGGGCATAGGAAGCGCATCCTGTAGAAGTTTTCGAAGTCAACACCACTGAAGGCTATGCGAACAAAATAGACGCGCACTAGGGAGTTCGAGGAGCACAAAAAAAATTGACAGGGAAGTGGCAGGAGCTGGCAGGAGAAGAAGTGGAATGAAGTCTCCGCAGCGCCCTTTTTATGAGAGCGGATGTTTCGCTCCGTTCACAGCCTCCAGGGCTTCAATCAAATCGCCGGTCGGCCCAAACGAACACTGCTCTCTTTAAGTTTCTGCCACAATCCTAGCCTAGCATCTGGATTCTGTGTTTGGCTTCACCGCTTCGGCTTCCCCTTGTGCCTTCAAACTGTCGAGGTCGTTGCAGGACTAGGTAGGGACGAGCCTCCGTCTGCCCTCGTTCTACGGATCCGGCATTTTACGATTCCGGTTTCAAGATCTGGGCCGCCCCGCCCAGTGCCGCTCTAATTCTCCGTGTCTCATTGGGTCCGAGCTCCCCGTACGTTCCTTATAGGGACCACCGCGGTTAATATACTCCTCCTCCTCCTCCTCCGCAGGCATGGGCCATCCAAATTTACAATTCGGGGCTATAAATGGCTCGCCTTCAATTCTCCTAGCCAAATCGCACACAGACAACGGCAAACCTGTGTTCCTCGCCGGAACGGAGGCTACAAGAGTAACTACGTTAACCAAAAGAACTCATTCTGCGTAATTGCAGTGGCTGATATTCCTCTGCGTACCAGGTTAACCAACACGGGTTGCGAGTGACCGCGGCTGCGTCGCTGTAAGCCCTGATAGTTTCAAGAGCATTTGCGCCTTACTGGCGTTGGCTCCACTCCTAGGCGTTTTGAAACGCGGGGCTTTCTTCTGAAAAAAGGATTTCCAAGCATACGCCCTTGGGTCCTGGGCTATGGCCGCTGGGTCTGGGTCATTCTGTGGTACGCATCTCCCTCTGGAAATTGGTGACGCAGACAGCATCTACCGGGATGGGGTTGGAGAACGCCTGCGAAGCAGCGATGCGTGGCTTTCCTGCCACCACGACTCGCCATGGTCCTCACCCGTCGCCAATCCAAGGCAATTTCACGCTGGGTTCCAAACGACATTCTCTCTGAGATAATTCAGTCCGCATCTTCGAGGGCGGATCGAGCGCGGCTCTGCCGAAGTTCCAAGCTTTTGACATCGGGCCCGGGGTTCCCATTTTATACCGCGAGGTGGACCTGGATAGCCATGCATCTGCCATCTCGTTCTCCTCTGCCGTTGGGACTATGTGGCTGGGTTCGCTCTTTCACGTTTGTGAGGGGGCGAGTCTTCCTTTAGGCAGTGGATATACCGATATTAAAATTCGTCATTCATAGGCCCCTTTGGAACTCTACCAGGGCCTTACATTCCAGCGCAGCCCTCTTGGAATCTCTCAGATCCATGGTCAGGCTCGAACATCATCTATCCGTCGACTTGCATAACTGGCAAGGACACGTGTTGCTGGATTGGACCTTTCCGCGTCTCCTCAGTTTGCGGTTGGCGTGCTATTTGGAAAGCGGCTATTTCTCTGCGATGGCCTCTTTCCTTGTCCGTCATCCACTGCTACATTCACTTTGTATCCCGCAGACGGACGACCGATGCGTGTCACCGTGTCGGATTCCACTGCCGAATCTTCAGCGTTATCGGGGACCCCCGGAATTCATTCTTTCCCTTGAGGCATTCAATATCGGAGAGGTCTGGATCTGCTGGGACCACTCCGCTGATTCCGTTGAACGGTTTAACATCGTTGTTGCGCTCAAAGCTCTGACACGGAGAGACGTCATGTGTTCGAATGAAGGTTTCCCCGATGATTTTACAGAGATTGTACACTCCCTGTCGAGGCACCCTCCCCAAATGAAGCTGTTCCATCTGGACCTTTCTGACCCTTGTAGGCATCTTCCCCTGTCACCCTCACACAATCGCACTCATACTCTCAAAAGACCGCTCAGCTCATCGTAGATGTCAAAGCGTCACTCCCGCATTTGAAGGGCCTTCTATGTCTTTCGATTGAGGACGCGTATAATAGCTACTATATTTTTGAAGAAGAATCAGACCTGGCCAACCTAGCAGCCTTTGGGGACTTATGCCCAACTTTGCGGTGTTGTCAACTAAGTAAGTCTGTGTTTTTTACGAGCCGGTGCCTCTATATCCCAGACTGACGTTCATAAATCCAAGATACTCATGCCCTCACCAAGGCCAACGGGGTGTGGCACACATGTCCAGTGGATGCCCCCTTTGAACTGGCTGGTGTCACTTTACGCGGGATGTAGCGAACTCGCAATGCATTTGGAGGGAGGTTGTGAATTCATTCGAGGTCAGGCGGAATACAAAGCTGAACTAGCAGTCGTTGATCTGTATCAGAGGCAGTTTTCACAACAGACTCTCCGTGACGAGGGCTTTGGCACTTGGAGACCGAGCGGAGATGACACAACGAGTGTCCTTGGGATGACTTCACACTTGGTCAGTTTGGACGGTTGTGCAGCGATACATATCGCTCACCTCACCAGCCCATCCGTAAGTTTGCTGTCTGGCACGATAATATTTCCCTTCTCGTCCACCGCATTAGCAATCTTGCACGATGCCAGGATCGTTGCGGCAGCGATCCATAAACTGCTTTCCGCGAGATACTGGCCCGAGCAAATTCTGTCCAGGGCGCAGATGCATGTGTCAGAAGAGTCTCATGCAAAGAGAGCGGGACAAACCTGCGACCGAAACCGAATACGGCGGTGTTGAAGTAGGGCTCACCCCTTCCGGCCGGCTTCGGTAAGAATCGTTCGGGGTAGAAGGAGGTCGGATCCGAATATACATTTTCGTCGAGGGACATTCCTCTAAGGCAACCTGAGACTCGATCGAATCTAATATAGCAAAACGCACTTGATATTAGAGAAGACCAAGGAGCCTTTGGGAATGAACATTCCTCGGTAGATATCATCTTCCGTGACGCGATGGGGCACCCCTTACAAACAGGCGGTCAGTGCATGCTAATAGTTTGAGTGTCGCGAAAAAAGCAACCTAGCGGGACTCCAGAGTTCCAGCTAAATTCGAGTTTCCTCAGAATGTTTCCAGGGTAGCAATGGTTCACGAACCGGAATGTCTCTTGCAGTAAACATTCCACGAATGGGAGATTCCCTCGATCCACAAAATCGGGCAGGCGTTGGTCACCCACGACGGAATCAATTTCCTCCTGCGCCTTGGCCTGGCATTCGGGATGTAGTATCATTGCGAGAACAAATATTGCTAGTGCGCCCCAGGTCTAAAAGTGTTAGGCGACGTGCTTTTTACTAGAGGGTTAGTTAAAACAGCAGACCGTCGCTTCGCCTGCGCCAAACATAGCGACGGCAGCGCCTTTGATATCTTCCTCCTCACTTTGTCCCATTTCTAATTGCGCGAGTATGAACGATGGCATCGCCTCCCCAGTTTCCTACCATGTCTTGAGAATGAGAAATAGAGGAAATGCGAAGACTGTTTACCTGCTGCTTCTTTACTGCGCGCAAAGAATACTCATGTAACTCTCGAAGTATGGGTCTCAATTTCCCAACATGGCTTGCTCCTGGGTAGTAAGGAAAGTGCTGGACTACAACGGTTGCTAATCAATGGACTCCAACCGTTATATAAATGGACCCACGGATAGGGAAGAAGTCAAGGGGGCTACTTCCTGGAGGGCCGGTTTGAGACATTGCCTCAACGATCATGTGGGACATATGTAGGTATGGGTCATCGTCGGAAACTATTTGATGCCCCGCAGTGACCTGAGTGAGTATTCCCGTCGCAAACCTGTCCGGTTGCCCAGGTGAGCTCAGTGCATTCGGATCGGCAGACTAAGACATACCTGCCCATACATTTCTCGTACTTGTCCGGCGTGGAGTCAACCAGGCGTTGTACGAGCGTCCGCGCCTCTTGGGTTTGAATAAGCTTGAAGTCCTCAACCTGATGGCGACCCAAGTACGACTGGTGCATGGACCGATGTGTGTTGAACTGTTTTCCGTACGGCAGGAATGTCAGCGTCGGCTCCCAGCCCAGTCTACATAAATTTGAGCTGCATCCAGAGGGAAAGCGTAATCTGGGCTCTTACAGTTTATACAGAGTAAACCTTGGCCTATCGCTGTAAATCGCCCCTCGCTTATCGAGCAGATCCACAGCGGCTTGATACGAGTCGAGGATTATTATTTTCTGCCCGAGGATCTCTAGGCCCATCACATCGCCTGGAGTCATCGATTAAGGCGCACACTTGTAATGCTGCAGGACGCACCATAGCTTTTAGCCCATTCGTGGAATACGAGAGCCGAATCCGTGGGTGGCATGCGAAAGAGATGGCCGACTAGTGGATCCCCCGGCGGGCCAGGAGGCATCATCCGAGTC